CTGCAGTGGAGTCTCAAACAGATTCTGGTTCCTGGAATAGCTGGACCCCTGGTTACATGCCCCCCATCAGGGACTTGTGACTTAGGCTGGTTGTGTATCCATGGTGGTTATGGGTCTCTGCCACGTATGGGCTGCAGCTCGTTGTAAAAGTGGCAGGTCTCCAAGTAAGCACCAGGTCAACTGTGAGTACAGGACAGTTAGACAGAACTGCAGGGTCTCCATGTGTAGATAAAATGAGGGTGGAGGGAGGAAGGGTTTAGGTGCCAGCACTTAACTCTGTGGGTATGTCTATACTACCACCCTTGTTCGAACTAGGGTGGTTAATGTAGTCATACGAACTTGCAAATGAAGCCCGGGATTTGAATTTCCCGGGCTTCATTTGCATGTTGCCGGGCGCCGCCATTTTTAAATGTCCGCTAGTGCGGACTCCGTGCCCACGGCTACACGCAGCACGAACTAGATAGTTCGGATTAGGCTTCCTATTCCAAACTACCTGTACGCCTCGTTCCATGAGGAGCAATGGTAGTACGGAATAGGAAGCCTAATCCGAACTATCTAGTTCGTGCTGCGTGTAGCCGTGGGCACGGAGTCCGCACTAGCGGACATTTAAAAATGGCGGCGCCCGGCAACATGCAAATGAAGCCCGGGAAATTCAAATCCCGGGCTTCATTTGCAAGTTCATATGACTACATTAACCACCCTAGTTCGAACAAGGGTGGTAGTGTAGACATACCCTGTGTGTCCTACCTGAGGGCTTGGAGCAGCCTCCCTCCTATCTAGACTGTGGTGGGGGTCAGCCTGGACTAATCATCCCTAAAAGCACCACTTGTCCAGAAGAGGGGTTGCTCTTTCTCCAACTGCTCTGGCAGGTGGGGAGGGCACACAACTCTGCACAGGTGAGCACCATGCTACCTGGGGGCACTGCAGCCTGCTCCCATCCCCCCCTGAAAAGTGGTAGGGGCAGGTAGGGTTGCATACCCCTCCCCCCAAGTTTTCTGCCAGGGTTTGCTGGTCAAGTCCACCCTCCCACCCAGGGCCATTGCTGGAGCCCAGGACCAGGAGAGGCAAACAAATGTCATGAGCACCAAATTGCTCTGTGTGCATGTGTGTCATGGGTGGAAGGGGGGAATGCTGCTTTGGTTCTGCAGGGAGAGGTAGGGGAGGAGCAGTGTTCAGAGGTGTTTAAAAAAAACCGAAAGAGAAAAGTTTTGCTGATGACAAGGACTGGTGCGGACAGCGCTTTGCGACAAAGCTAGACCCACTTGTTGGGGTAGAAGTTTTGTTGGTAGGAGAAGTCTCCAAGTTCTGAAATGACCCTCCTATTCCAAGTGCCTTCCAGAGCTACTGGCAAATGTCTCTTCCCAGCACCTTGGGAGAAGGAGGCCTGGTGAGCCCCACGTTAGAAGTGGTGGAGTAAGGCCCAGATTCTGGGAACTTGCCTAAGATCACACACCAAGTTTGTAGCAGAGCTGAGAACTGAGCCCAGGGCTCTTCAGTCCTGCTGCGGAGGCTCAACCACACCCTGCCTCACCACCAAGGTTCCTTCTAAAACAGTTTCTTGCCATTTTAACCAGAAAGGACACTCTCTCAATGACTTAGCCACCTGCATTCTGCTACAAAGACCTTTTACATCTGCACTTGAAAGGGAATCCTCTGAACTGTCATTCATGTTAAAATTCGACACTCTCCGGGAAGGAATGAACAAACACTCAAACTATCTTACCCATTACCAAGATAGCTTCCCCAATTATCACCTCTAATACCATTAGCTCACAGACATCCCCCTCTCCCCACCTCTAATATCAATTCACAGACACTTACCTTCCTTCCTCCCCCCCCCCCGCATCCCCCTCCTTTTCTGAAATGGGATTTGTCCTTTTCATATGTGTTCATTTTTTTAATTGTATCCTTTGGTATATATGGCTGTGACTATTTTCTGAGGAAGTGGGTCTGGCCCACGAAAGCTCATCATCTAATAAACCATCTTGTTAGTCTTTAAAGTGCTACATTGTCCTGCATTTTGCTTCAGCTACCCCAGACTAACACGGCTACATTTCTATCACTATTCTAAGCCCACGACTGCCTGACGAGCCCCACACTGGGCTCAGGGCTGCCAGGGGAACCAGCTCCAGCAGCAGGGCCAGATTAAGAAAGGGGCATTAGAGGCTGCAGTCTGGGACCCTTGGCTACAGCCCATAAAGCCTCAGTGTTCTGGGCCAGCCCTTCCTGGCTGCTGTTCCTTCTCCCTGCTGGAGCCGCATCACCGGGAGCACCAGGAAGCTTGGTCCCCACAGTTCTCATTGGCCAGGAAACACAGACAATGGGAACTATGAGGGGTGGGGCCTGCAGGCGAGGGTGGGGAAGCACAGAGCCATCCATCCCAATACCATGCATGAGCCCTGAGCCCCCTCCACCACCTTCGATCCCTCCTAGACCGCACATTCCTACCCTGACCTCCGTTCCGCATCCTGTACAGACCCCGCACCTCCACCCTCCTGAGCCAGCTCCCGCACTCCAAACCCCTCGGCCCCAGCTTGGAGCCCCCTCCTGCATCCCAACACCTCATTCCCAGCCCCACTCCAGAGCCCCCACCCCCTCCCACAGCCTGCACCCCTCAGTCCCACTCCTGCCATAGATCATCCATGGACAGAATAAATGTTATGGGCACCAATATGGATGTCATCACCAGATTGGTGCACAGAACAAAATGCATTCCATACATGGACATAGCACATTAGAGGGAACATTGCTTCTCGATATTTTCTTCTGCAAAATGTCTCTTTCTGTTTTCAGTATATCCATGAAAAAATAAAATAGCACATAAATAAGAGCCATATCATTTAAAGTATATTCACATGCTGTTTATTTTTGTAGGATTTCTCCACTTTTGATTCCATTGATGATAAAATGTATAAAAATAATTTTAAACAATACTTGTTTTATAGTCATATAGCATGCATCCCTCCACAACAGGGAGGGTGAGAAATGAAATAGGCTCCACGTAACTCACATGCCCCTTTCCTGATTCTAACTGTCACATTCAGTGTCACAACATTATGAACAATTATCCAGATACCCATTACTGGCTCATCACATTTTCAATGGGTAGGATGGGTACAGATTAGGGATGTAATAGTGCAGTCAACTAACCGATTAACCGATAAGCAGAAGTTTAGAGGTTAATGCTATTGTGCTTAGAGGTTAATGCTATAGACCAGTGGTCTCCAACCTTTTTAAGCACAAGATCACTTTTTGAACTTAAGTGCAATCCAAGATCTACCTCAAACACAAATACCCTTGTCCCGCCTCCTTCGTGCCACTTCTCTGAGGCCCTACCCCTGCTCACTCTGTCCTCCCTCTTTCCCCCATCTTTCTCCCTTTCACCAGGCAGGGGCAGATGGTTGGGGAATAGGCTCTCGTCTTGGTCTAAGGGATATGGAGTGAGAGGAGCTATGAGCTCAGCCTGGGGCAGGGAGTTGGGGTAGAGGGGATTCAGGGTACAGGCTCTGAGGGCATTTGAGTCTAAGGGGCTCAGGACTAGGACAGGGGCTTGAGCTGCAGGAGGGGTTCATGACTGGGGCAGGGGTTTAAGATTCTGGCTCCAACTGGGCACTGCTTACCTCAGGTGGCTCCTGGGTGGTAGTGCAGTGGGGCTAAGGCAGGCTCACCCCTTCCCTGGCCCTGCACCACTCCCAAAAGCAGCCAGCAAACTCCCTGCATCCCAAGCCCGGTGCCCCCCTCTGTTCTGTGAAGACAGAATGCAGGGTGGGAAAGGGGCACCCTGACATCAGTGCTCCCTCCTCTCCCTTCCCTGCTCTGCAGAGCAAGCAGGAGGCTCCCAGGAGGGGGCAGGCAGCTCCAATGCAAAGGGCAGGAGACGCAAAGCAGTGAGGGGAGGGGCAGCTGAAGTGCTGTGCTTGATAGCGTCTTGGCCAAACCAGTCAGGATCCCCTGTCAGAGACTTCACGCTCTACCAGTAGATCCAATCTACTGGCTGGTGACCACTGCTATAGACTATATGCATTTCTTCCCCACCCTCCTGGCCAGCAACCCGGCTCAGTCCTGACTTGTGCCAGGTCTGGGACCTACTTCTGCTGTGGCTCTGCATTTAAAATGTATTAGGAGCCGGGCAGGCAGGCAGCCCAGCTCAGTTCCGGCTCATGCTGGGTCAGGAAGACCAGACCCGCCCCCAGACAAGGGCTGCTGCCTCTTTATCAGAGGTGATAGCACAGGGTGACAGGCAGCCAGTCCGTGAGGGGAGCTGGTTTTTAAACTGCCTCTCCTCACAGACCAACTCCTGCCTGGCACCCCACGCTGCTGCCTCTGATACAGAGGCAGCAGCACAGAGTGGCAGGGGGCTCCTCGGGAGTGAGATGCGCTGGCTGCCAGCCCCGTGCCCCGGGACGATAGAATAGTCGACTAACAGATAAGAATTCACGAGGTTACTTGACTATTCAGTTAACTGACATTTCACATCCCTAGTACAGATATGTGGGAGAAAAATCAAATAACTCCAATTGTGTCTAAAGGGGGGACTGTGCATGAAATCAAACCTCTCTAAAAGAAAACTGGTGTAAGGGTTAAAAGTTTTCCAGGCCTCTTTCCCTGTAACAGAGAGAAATCAAATTAACTCTAATCAAGACCCTTACAATGCCTCCTATCTCAAGTTCATGGATACTCCTAGTCTGTCACAACTTGTCATGTAAACCCTTATCTTTGGCACAGTTTGCCTTGTAAGACCACTCACTCCACATTCTCATATGGCTTTGTTCTGTAAAACTTACTTCTAGCACTCCTGGGGTGAACAGAAGTCTCAGAGTGCTTCTGCTGAGACTTTAATATGTTAAAGAAGAACAATCAACAATTGAACTGTCTAAGCATTCTGTATATAGGATACCTGAATCTGTCTCTCTTTGCTGCTGCTTCACTCTTGGTGTGACAGCCTGCATGCATGCATCATAAAGTTTTCTCTTCTAGGTTTCTCTCCTGCCTCACTGATTTGACCTCCGGCCTCAGACCCTTCTGGGGGCTCTGTACCCCAGGGGAGCGAGATTTCCCCCTCAGATAAGGTCTCGAAAGTTAATATACCTTCCCCGCAGCAGCCACCCTCATTCACAATTGAGAATTTCTGCTAATACTATTCACAAGAAATAGAGTTGGGACCCACACATATTTCTGCTCCCACCGTGTCACACCCATGTCACACTACAGCAGGGGATTTGGCTTTCCTATTCATTCCAGCACGCTTCTTACAAAACTTCCTCCATCTCCTGATTTTGTAAGTATACACGCTCACTGCAGAGACCGGGAAGAAGTTCTATGAAAAGATGTATAACCACAGACAAAAAATAAATACAAAATGATTGGCAAGAAGTTCTCCATTACATGTACATCAAACTAGCAACAGAGACAGCAACTATCAGTCCAAACTGGAGGCCTGAGTCCACAAGCCACAAGATGGGCTGTGGGGATGCACTGGGACAAATGACAAAACAAGAAAGTAGCAGGACTAAGAATATTTTTTGAACTGGATTAGTTTCTGGAAGGCCTGCTTAAACTCTTCATTAAAAGCAGTATATATGACTGGATTGATAAGTGAGTTTAAGTAACCTAGCCATGTGAAAAAGTCCAATAGGATCGGATGAAACCAGCAGGCATCCTGACAGATGGGCAGGATCAGGGTCACAACAAAAAATGGTAGCCAGCAGAAAATAAAAGCTCCCAGGATAATACCCAGAGTTTTTGTGGCTTTCCTTTCTCTTGCAGCAGAAATTCGTTTCCTTTCCAGGATACTATCTGCAAGTTTGATTTTCACATGATTGATAAACACAGGGGAGCCCCCAGAATGGGCATGCCCCTCATGAAGATTAGAGTTAATGGAGCAGAGGGATGACCCAGTGGAGCCAGTAATCAGGTGGGCTGTGGTAAATCGTTTTCCGTATAATGAAGGAGGCTTAAGAATCCTGGACCGAGCTGCTATGTACATTCTCCCATACAGTATAACCAGGAGTACAGTCGGGATATAGAAAGCACCACAGGTGGAATAGATTGTGTAGGAAATCTGGTCAGTGTTCACACTACAGTCTGCCATTTCTTCATGAGCTTTTGCCTGTCTCCAGAAAAGCGGTGGCATAGAAATACAAATTGAGATCACCCAGACAAGAGCTATCATGAGGGCTGCTCTGCCAGCCGTCCGACGCTTGGTGTATTCCAGAGCATTTGTGATGGCCCAGTACCTGTCCAGCGCAATGACACAGAGGTGCAGTATGGAGGCTGTGCAGCAGGTGATGTCGGATGATAGCCAGATATCGCACATAACTTGGCCCAACGCCCACGTGTGGCTGACAGTATAAGCAATGCTGATTGGCATGACTAAGATAGAGACCAAGAGATCAGTCACGGCCAAGGAGCCAATGAGATAATTTGCAGGTGTATGAAGCTTTCTAGTCAGAAAAATGGTGATAATCACAAAAGAATTGAAAAGAACCGTTGCCAGAGTGATAGCAGACAGAATGACGGCTAGTAAGATCCTCAGCCCTAGCAATGTGGTCTCATCCCAAGCCATCGGCATTTCAGTGGAGTTAAGAGACTCATTGGATGTATTCTGGCGAGAAAGTTCTTGTGAATGGTTACACTGGGGCATTTTTTTATTTTCCATTGCAATTCCAATGTGACTGTTTCACCTGAAATGGAACTTTTGTGGATAACACCAAGTCTGGGGAGAACAACCTCTGGGTAACAGGTGAAGAATTTTCTAAATTAGATTCCTGCAGTTTATTTCAACACATCTCTTGTACCACTACACTAAGCAGCAAGTTCTAACACAATCATCCAGTTGTTATTTCTGCCATACTTTGACACTTGCTAGAGTATAAAGGGTGGGAATTTACGGGTATTCCATTTTTATTTCACAATTTCTCATCTAGCCAAAGGCCAAAAAGTGTTTTAATTTCTGTTCTGTCCACATCTTCTTTTTGAGCTAATTCTCAGTACTGGAGAGTGAAATGCAGAGTGGAACATCTGACATTGCCATATTGGCCTGTCTTTGAGACAAAACTTTCTAAGAAAACTCTTGCCCACAGTTAATAGCTGAACATGGCAACTCTTCTCACAGGGAACTCTCCCTTCCATGAGTACATATGACAATACAAGACTGTATGGTGCCAGACACACTTATTAGGCCCTATGTAGTCATTTGTTCCAAGTTCTAGCAGTATGCACATCTCCAGACCACCCTGGCTTTCTCTCACCTGTCCATGCAACCCTTAAATGCTAGCTGTGACTGCTGAATGGTTAACGAGTTCAATGCTGTGGACCTGAAATTCATAGGATGTCCCAGTTACTGAATTGGCCATGACTGAGTAGATGGTGAATGATTCTAATGAGCGGTGGTGCAATCATTCCCCCAACCAAAGATGGACTTCCTCATCTGACATGGCTGGTAATCGCCGAACAGATCTAAAGAGAGAAAGCGAGTGCGTTAGCCCAGAACTGTGGAATCGTGTGATGTGGAAGTTCACAGCCTCAATGTTAGACCGGGCCCTTTGGGCATTAATGGAGCCACAGGCCTCTTTTTATGTATTTCATTAGATTTAGTAAGTGACTGTCTATATAACAAATAGTCTGGTAGCACTTTAAAGACTAACAAAACATGTAGATGGTATCATGAGCTTTCCTGAGAAAAACCCACTTCTTCAGATGACCGGAGTGTTGGAAGTCCATATCTAAGGATAAATAAAGGAGAGGGGGAGGGGAGGGGAGGAAGAAAAAGAGAGTCAGTGAGTAGATAAAACTTAAAAAACAACAATCAGTCTAGCAGCACTCTAAGGACCAACAAAACATGTAGATGGTGAGTAGATAGTTCAAGTAGTTACAGGAGTCGGTTAAGAACCAATAGCAACTCCATTGGCTGGTTGGTTAGTTAAGTTATTAAAAGGTGGAAGATAGTGTGTGAGCCATCGAATATCCTTGTTTAATCATCCTGGAACCCATCCCTGCTATCAGCCCTGCTGCAACTCTGCACACACATCTATACAAAAGATTTAATCACTGGACCCAATGACATCAGCCACCAAATCAAAGGCTCATTTAACCGCACATCCATTAATGTGATCTATGCTATCAAATGCCAACAATGTCCCACTGCCATGTATATTGGCCAAACTGGACAATCTCTATGGGAAAGAATTAATGGACACACACCAGATATCCAAAAAGGCAACACACAAAAACCTGTTGGAGAACACTTTGATCTTCCTGGACACTCATTAATGGATCTTCAAGTCACCATTTTGTTTCAGACCAATTCCACAAGCCAAATACACAGAAAAGGATTGGAACTTAACTTCATTCCCAAGTTTAATTCTTATGCTAATGGTCTAAACAAGGATATTGGTTGGCTCACACACTATCTTCCTCCTTCTAATAACTTTAGCAACCAAAGAAACAATGAAGGTGCTAATGGTTCTTAACAGACTCCTGTAACTACTTGAACCATCTACTCACCATCCACATGTTTTGTTGGTCCTTAAGAGTGCTGCTAGACTGACTTGTTTTTTAAAATTTATCTACTCACTATCTCTCTTTTTCTCCCTCTCCCCCCCCCCTTCCCTTATTTTTCCTTGGATCTGGACTTACAATACTCTGGTCATCTGAAGAAGTGGGTTTTTCCCACAAAAGCTCATGATACCATCTACATGTCTTATTAGTCTTTAAAGTGCTACTAGACTTTTTGTTGTTTTTTAAATTTTTCTTGTTGCAGACTAATTCGGTTACCCTCTGAAGCTTTTGTTTATATAACCAGAGCCTTAATATCTCAGCCAGCTCCACTGCACACATAATAAGGTCACATCTCCATTTACCAGAGGACTAATACTCTTGTGATCAATCTTCTGGGGTTTGATTTAGTGGGTCTAGTAAAGATCCGCTAAATCGAACCTGAGAGCATCCCTACTGGCACCAGTATTCCTTGTTATCATGAGAAGTAAGGGAAGTCGACAGGAGCATTTCTCTCATCAACCTCTCGCTGCAAAGTCAGCGACAAGCTTGGCTTAAGGTACGTCAACTCCAGCTACGTTATTTACATAGCTGGAATTGTGAACCTTAAGCTGACTTTCCGGGTGTAGTGCACTGGCTTTGATCCCTACCACTGGCACTGCTTTGTTGCCTGTTCCTTCTGGAAACAGCCAAGAAAACTGGCAACCTTGTTTCATGCCACAATGGTTTACAAATCTGGGTTCTAGCAGAGCACATGTGCTGAAAGTTCCTCAGAGAAATGTCCTACCAATAGCCCCCCTTCTGAAATTAACCAGCCCAAGCATCTCTCCTGATCACAAATAATGCAGCTTCATGGTGGAAAAGCATCTGTCAAAGGCAAAGGTCCAAACCACTTAAGGCTTTGTAGGACAAGACAAACCCCGTGAATCCCACTGAGAACTGAGCCCAAAGTGGGCCACAGAGTCTGGCCCAAAGTGGAGTCTGGAGACACTAGGCTCCTCAGAGAGAAGGTTTCCGCTGTTCTTCCTCACAGGCTTATTTTGAATGGGACATTTCTGTTTAGAGAGAGTTGTTGCTTCAGCAACTTGCACTGGAACGTTTCAGATCTCTCCTTAAACCAGGGGTGGGGCGCCTTCTCTGGGTCAGGTGCCAGAGTCAGGGACTGCATACAAGTGAGAAACAAAAAACCCACCACATAGCAACAGGGGCTCCCCAAGCCTCAGGGGCTAGATCCAGCATTCATCCCCTGGGCCTTAGATTCCCCACCCCACCCTAGATTATTTCTGGGTTGGAAAGTTAGCAAAAAACAACCCAACAAAAGAAAAGCTTTCTGTAAATCTGCTAAAAGTCCCATTTTGAAGCCCTGAGCTAAAATTCAGCCTAACAGAGTTTTTTGAACTGAATAACAACTCAGAAATTGCCATTTTCCAGTTGAGAATACTGAAGTATATTTACCTGGGCACTGGGCTCCTCTCATAGGCCAACTCACAAGCAAACCCTACAACAACAAAACAGATCAGAAACATTACGTACAGACAACAGAATCCTGCAGCCAAGTTCAAATCTTTGCAAAACATTTCTCACACTCAAGTTCTCTCTGTTTTAGACTGACATTCCCTATTTGTCATAAGGAAGAGCCATTCTTCCAATCTGATTCTAAATCAGCAATGAAAAATAAAATCCAGACCACACCTGCCAAGCCTTGAATATCAAAATGTTGCCATATTGATCCTCACAGTTCTATGCCCAAAAGGGGAATCAAAATCTTGATGTAAAGGGTTGCCAGGTGTCCAGTTTTCTACCGGACAGTCCAATATATACACCGTCTGTCTGGTAGAAAAATTCAGAAAATACTGGACATGTGCAATGTCCAGTATTTTCTGAATTTCCGGCTGGGCGCCAGACTGAAGCCTGGCGGGGGCGAAGGAGCGACTGGGAGGCGGAGCTGCGATCGGCACTGGGAGCCCTGTAGTCGCGTGCAAAATCCAGGTGGGGAGAGGTGGGGGCCGGGACTCCCAGCCACCACCACCCCTCCCCCCCGCCTAGCTTTTGCACGGGACCAGAGGCTCCCAGCGCCAATTACGGCCCCCCCTCCCAGCTGGGAGCC